TTCTGGAAAGTTATTAAAAATAATCGATTTTAAGAAGAATTTTAGTTAAAAATTCTTGAAAATAATAATTTGATCACTGGGTCATCTTTAATTATTATAAAACATGAAGAAATTGATCACTCCGAGTCGAAGACTCGGAGTTATCGATATCTTCATGTTTTATAGTTATGAAAAATTTAATTTATAGTTTTAAGTAAAATGTTCTCTTATTTTACTTTGACTGGTTATATTTTTGTCAACAATTGGTCCGTAAATTGTCCGCAATTTTTCAATTTTGGTCCGTAAAGTCCGTATTTTTAAATACTTTTACTGGTTCGAGCCCTGATTGGCATATTTTTTAAAAATTGCAGACAAAATTTAAACTTATATAGCTGTCATCCTTCAAGTCTTGTCTTTAATTTAAGACCAAAAAAGTTAAAAAGTCTTACTCGGTTCGGTCACAATTTAAAGAAAATACCCCAAAGTGCAGGAGAGTGAATTCACAGAATCAGTCGAATCGTATAACTAACAAAAAAGTTACAGCAAAAAATACAAAAAATTTCACCAAAAAAGGCAATTTTTTGATATTTTTTAAAACGTTTTGCAATAAAAAATAGAAATAACTATAAAGTTGGACTCAGTGACCCGAGAAACCTGATTTAGTATACTATATCAAATTTTTTCAGAAACTTTATTTAGACCATTTTTGGCCCAGAAACAATTTTTCCATGAAGGGGTTAATGAATTTTCCCCATAGAAAGTTTTAGTTTTCCCGTTTTGGAGAAATATTTGTATAACTATTTCAGTATATATATGCTCTACCTGTTCCAGGTGAATTTACTATAAATTTTGTAAATCTACAGGATATAGTTGAATTATTCTGTAAAAAATGTAGTTCGATATCTGCTTGAATTAATTAAGAAGAATTATTTAAATTCTATTCTTAAATAATAAATTAAAATAAGATTTAATAATTATTCAAATTCTACTATATTTTATTAAGAATAATTTCAAAATATTTTATTAAAAAATTTTTATAAACTTTTCAAAATATTTTAATAAAACTTTTAGAAAATATTTCTAAAGAGCTTTTATTTTTATATAGATAGTAGACATCAAATATCAAAATAAACATCAAACTAAAATTCCATAATCGAATCAAATTCTAATTCAATTTAGTTGAGACTTTTAATTAAATCTTCAAAGGATGTTGACTTTTATTAACTTTTTGATATTTTTATAGAAAGAATTTCAAATACAACTTTGATGAACGCACGGTTTGACAGATTTTATTAGAACTCTTTAAATTTATTAGTTTAAAACTGACAAATAAACGTATAATATGAAATTTAATAAAATTTTTAAATTACTGCCTTTAAAAAAATGTGTGGAAAATTAAAAAAAAACTTTTTTTTCAAACTTTATAGAAAACAGATTTTTTTTGCAATCACTGCATTTTTAAAATTATTTGAAAACATTTCAACTGTATTTTTAACAGATTGATTGACGTTATGCAATATATAGAGATAAGTATCGTTTACATTTTTTAGTACAAATAAAAATAAATTTCCTGAATAAATATGTAAATATATGTTTCACAATTTATTAATTAATTAAAAAATAACTCACATACCTACAACATCAAAAATTTATGAATAAGCTTTCATTTTCACTGCATTTTAGAATAAAGAGTCATTCCATAATATTTCGACCAAAGTTATTATCGACTAATTTTTAAAAATGATAAAGAAGAAAGAAGAAAAAAAAGAAAATGTGTTTAAGTTCATCCAAAGAATTCTATATTTTTTAAGTTTATTTATTTACACCTTAAGTGAAGTTCACAATGTTTATAATAAACAATTTAGATGAAAAAATATTTCTTCTGTTAAAGTTTATATAAATTTTTGTTAAAAAAAAGGTTTTACATACTTTCTTTATCAATAATTTAGAAAGAAAAAATTTATAAACAAGAAATTTAATCATTTGATTCATAAAAAGAATTTTTTTTCTTCCAATCGCTTAGGTAAAACGTTGTGAACTTCACTGATGTATTTTTCAGGGAAACTTTAAAATCATATTTTATGTATTATTTCATATCTTTTAAGATTAAATACTTGAAACAATTTATTTATTATTACTTAAACCATTTATAATACTAAATCTAGCCATATTTGACTATTTACAATAATTTCTTTTACAAATTTTTAGTAAATTGTACGTTTTTTTAAAAATATTTTCTATTACACGAAAAAGGAAATAAATATAAAATAAATATCAAAGTATTTTAAAATTTCACAGGCCGAATTTTTATATAAAAAATACGAAACTTTAAAAGAAATTTCATAAAATTCAGTAAATTGTAAATATTGCAAATATTTTCGTTAATAATTATGGTGGATGAGTGGTTATTTTTGACATTATTTTACACTATTAAGTGTCATTTAGGTCTTTTTTAAAAGAATTTACACCCAGAGAAAAGTTTTATTTAAACCAAATATATTTTATTTGAGTTAAATAAACGTATATTTCACTGAGAAAACATTATACTCGTTTCAAGTAAAAAAATAACTTTAAGTGATTTTGTTTCATTGAAATTAGTTTGTAAGCTTAATCCCAATATATAGAAAATATTTACTACTTTGATACAAAACTAATTTTTGTTTGAATAACTATGTTTAATTCAAACATATTTTTTGTTTTGGTTTAAACAAAAAATATGTTTAAAAATGTTATGTTTGATTCAAACTTAAAAGTGGATTATAAATAATTTAAAATCAACCATAAATTATGTTTGAATTAAATATATTTTTTCTATAAATGAACCAAAAAATATGTTTGAATTAAACTTAAATTTGTTTGACTGTATAGCAAAGATATTTTAAGTTTGATTTTTAACAAAATTTGTTTGAATCAAATAAATCGTTTTCTCAGTGTTGTCTCAGGATGAAGTAGATTTTTTTTTTGTTTCAAATAAAAATTGTATTCGACATAAATAAAACATATATTTAAGCCAAATAAAATTTTACTTAAACCAAATAAAATTTTTTTTAAACAAATAAAATTTCTTTGAAACAAATAAAAAGTCTAGATGATTCTGAGCCAAATATAACTTTTCTCTTGGTGCACATGTTAAAAATCAGGAGATAGCCAAAAAAATGTCTTTATTTTTATGAGATTTTGGTACCGATAATTGTAAAAAATTATATTTTGAGTTTAAAGTGGTGAAAAAGTTCTGATAAATAATATTTTTAAATCGAGGTGCATAAAAGGACCCAAATCTTTATTTTACCAAAATTCCTTTTTTTCTAATAAGAATTAATTATAATTTCTTTTAATCGAAATAATAATTTAAAGAAATGTTATGTTTTCAAATGACTGATTTTTTATAATCTTTAAGTCACCGAATAATCATTTCAAAAAATTCTGATTTTTTACATTTATTATTTACATTAATATTTTCTTTTTCGAATTGTCAATTTTTGATTAAACAAATTTTTTCTCATTGTATATTTTGGGATAAGCTTACATCATAAAAAAGGTAATCTCATATTTAGAGGAAAAATCCTCTTCTAATTTCCTCTCAATTTTTCCTCTTATAACAAAAGTATTCCCCTTGAATGTATAATATTTTCATTCTCTGGTTAATAATAAAACAAAACAATTTTTTCAAGTTCTAATGTCAAAAACATTGAATTCAAATGAAGTAAATAAACAAATCAATTTATTAATTAATGTAAGTAATTAACTATTAATAATCAATTGTATTTATTTAATTAAAAACATTTAATTTAGTGCATAAAAAGCTTTTCTTTATCAGTTCATAACCATAATATTGTCAAATAATACACGAGATGAAATCCTCTTATAGATGAAGATTATTACATTTGAATTTTTGATACCATATTTAAGAGGAAAATTTGCATTTAGTTTAGAGGAATACGCATGAAATTAAAGATTACTTTTCTTAGATTATAGAAACTGATTTCACAAAATCACTTAAAATTTTTTTTGTACTTGAATTAAGTATGTTTTCTCAGTGTACACGTTTAATATTTTTCAATAAATAAGAATTTTTCTATTTCAAGAAATAAATAATATTCTATGAAATATAATTTTTAAAAATTAATCAGTAACGACTTTGGTCGAAATTTATAATGGAATGACTCTGGCCAAAGCTATTTCTCTATATATATCTTATATCAATATCCATAGAATTTTCAAATTCACCAAAAATGTTTTAAATTCCTGTTGGAAAAATATTCTGCACGAATTCTCTTCTTCATTACATTGAAATATTTAATTTCGCGATAGAAAAAAAATGTATGACACAATTTTTAATTATACGAGAAGATTCTTTCTATTTTATTTTATATAAAAACGATTAATTGATAAAAAGAATTTCGTGACCATATAACACAATATTTATTTGTTATAAATTATGTGGTGCGATAAATAAATCCCAGTTTTTCGATATTATCTTTCTTTCTTTCTTTTGTTGTATCTTTTGGTTTTTTTTCGATAATTCGTGAAAAAATTGATGATAAATATTCAACTGATTTTCTATTCTATCCATCGTCTTTTGAAACACCACTATTTATTCTCTAATCCCATGACATGTCCGCCCTCTCTCGCCTTCTTATATATAGACATATATATATCTTTGGATGAGAACATTCTCGGGGGCGGATTTAAGAAAAGAAGATGGAATTTCAGATCTGTGGAGATGCTGAGATGTTTGCAAAAGAAGACAGTGGTTTTCCCTTTTGGCTTGGTAGATCAGCGTATACATGAATATGTTGCAAGCACGTGATTATATCGCGCGTTATCGACCGTGTCGGACCGGCTTTCCTTTGCCAGGAGAGATAGATAGAAGGGTAGCACGCGACCATGCGGACCATCCAGGCTCCACAAATTTTCATTTTTTTTTCCAATCCTTCACAAATCCGAATGAAATGTTCATTTTTTTTAAACAAGATGTGATATGATTGTGAAATGCATTATTATGACTCAATGTTGAATACCATTGCACACTCTATTTTGATTGAAGCACAGGAGGAGAGGTTTTCAAAACTCGCGACACGAGAGAAGGAGAGAGCTTTGCATTAGTTCCTCGACTTTCGTCTGTCGCACGACTACTGGAATCTTTGGGGTAGACAGGGAGGCTGCGCGCAGGACCATTCCCGGCAACTCCTCGCTCCCCAGATCCACACGGCCATCGTCTCTCTCTTCACCGACAAACTCTCGCATGCAAAGAAATTTTCTTGGTGTGTGTTCCGCCTTCACACGTTTTGTATCTTTTTTTATCTTTTACTCCTTCCCCACACACACCCCCACCGAAAACCGTTCTCTATATCTATATATCTAAAAAGCCTCTCTTATTCTCCCTTCTGTTGAAGCATTTCATTGGATACTCACTTTTTACCTTAGTTATTAATTTTATTTGCTTACATTCACCCTCAGCTCACCGCAATTGTCGCTTTATATATATATGCAACTTCTCATTTACTCAAAAGGATTTATTGAAGCTTTTCATGTTTTTAATATAATGATAATGATGATGGAATTTAAATATGAGAGTATAAAAACAACTTAAGTGCGATAAATTTGCATATAGGGACTTAAAAAGAAATTCAATTATATAAGCTGCTATCATAACATTTCTCGTCTCCGAAAAACTACCTATTTTCTTCAATTTCTTTATACATTAATCTAAATCTTTTTTGTTTCAATAAATACTATATATTAAATATAAGAAACAAATTTTTCATGATCCTAAAGTCAGGGTTCGAACCAGTGAAAGTATTTAAAAATACGGACTTTACGGACCAAAAATGAAAAATTACGGACCAATTGCTGACAAAAATATAATCAGTCAGAGTCAATAAATTAGAAAACATTTTACTTAAAACTATACAACTACTGTTTAAACTATTTTAATTATTATAATTTTATAAATTATTTTGATCCTGTAAATACACACACTTGAGGTGTTTATAAAGTCAAATTCTCATGGGGGAACCGAGTAAATTTTTTTTTCTATTTTATCAATTGCAAAACATGCAAAAAATTGTCTGTTTTAGTGAAATTTTTTGTATTTTTTTGCTATAACTTTCTTGTTAATTATCCGATTCGACTGATCCTGTAAATTCATTCTCCTGCACTTTGGGGTATTTTCTTTAAATTGTGACCAAAATTCAAATTTGTCGATAGATTTAAAATTTTTTTCTCATTGGAAATTGGTTGTTTATAAGTTAGAGTAACAGAAACTGGGTTTTATTTTTGAAAAGAAATTATTTTTGTTTTTATACAGTACCGTCAGAAATTATCGGTACGGCTCCACGCGCAAGGCCCAAAAACATACCAATCTTTAAATCACGATATTTCTGTAAAAACAAATCTCAGAAAATTAACAAATATTCCATTCGAAAGCTCATAATATTTTACGTTAAATGACATATAATTGAAAATTTTAATAAATTACACAAAGATTTTAGCAATCAATGCATTTGTCCAAAAACATGCTCTGACATTTATAATAATATCTCCCGAACCGAATAAGTTTTAAATTTTGTCTGCAATTTTTAAAAAATATGCTAATCAGGGCTCGAAATAGTGAAAGTATTTAGAAATACGGACTTTACGGACCAAAAATGAAAAATTACGGACCAATTACTGACAAAAATATAAACAGTCTGAGTCAAATAAGAGAATATTCTACTTAAAACTATTAATTACATTTTTCATAACTATAAAACATGAAGACATCGATAACTCTGAGTCTTCGACTCGGAGTGATCGATTTTTCATGTTTTATAATAATTAAAGATGACCCAGTGATAAAATTATTATTTTCAAGAATTTTTAACTAAAATTCTTCTTAAAATCGATTAGATTTAATAATTTTCGAAAAAGTTCTTTAACAATTTTAAAATCTATTTGTTTACAATATTCAATTTTACGAAATTTCAATTATTCGTAAATTCTTCAATTAAATATATATTAGAAAATAAAAACTTCAAATAATATAAAAAAAATCCGCAATTAAACTTTCTCAAATAAAAAATTAATTCCACAGAATTGTTAGTTAACAATATCAAAAATTCAAATTTTCAAAGAATTTAATATGAAACCTTTTCAAAATTCAATTATTTCTAAAAATTTATGCTCTAATGCTTTTAATATTCAATTATAATCTAAAATTTTAACTGAAATTCATTTTTAAATTAATTTTTATTAGAAAATTCAACAAGAATTCAATTATTTAAATACAAAAAAAACAATTTATTGAATAATTGCATGTTTCTTAAAATTGAATTCTCATAAAGAATTGCATCAATAAATTTTTAAATAATTGAATTCTTTTGACGAATTTTAATAAAATTTTCAATTATTATCTAAAATTTTAACTGAAATCCATTTTTAAATTAATTTTTATTAGAGAATTCAACCAGAATTAAATTATTTAAATACAAAAAAACAATTTATTGAATAATTGCATGTTTCTTAAAATTGAATTCTCATAAAGAATTGTATCAATAAATTTTTAAATAATTGAATTCTTTTGACGAATTTCAATAAAATTTTTAAGAATAATTACATTTTTTCGAGGAACTTAATTAAAATTGTATTAAAAATAATTGAAATTCTGCAATGAGTTTTATTATTTATCAAAATAATTGAATTCCTAATAATAATTTTATTATATTTACCAAAATCAGGGTGGACGCAAAATTTTATTTTCAAAATTCCCTGACTTTTCCCTGACTAATTTATGATTTTCCCTGACTAACAAATTTTTGAATTATTTAATATTCTACATTGAAATGTCCGTAAGAAGGTTTATACTTATAAAAAATGTGACGGCACCATATAATGACCTATATTACAATAACGTCTAAATAAAAAACTGAATTGACATTTAAGTATCAAAGTTTTTTAATTTGTGGTTTTTTTCGATCAAAATTCCCTGACTTTTAAAGAATTTTTAAAAATTCCCTGACTTTTTCCTGATTTCCAGTTTTTCCCTGACTTACGGCCACCCTGAAAATAATTGAATCCCTGTTAAAATTATATTATTTATGAAAATAATTGAATGATTGCGAAGAGATTCAATTCAATTTTATGAAATACTTCAAGAACCTAAAAAAATGTCAATTAAACTTTTTCAAAAAATTAATTTTACAGAATTGTTAGTTAACCCTTTCACAGTCCAGTTTCAAACAAAAAAAAGACATAAAAATTCAAAATTTTCTTATGAATTCTAAAAATTTAATTTTTTTCAATACTTTTAAGTTTTACTAAAAATCCCTGACTTTGCCCTGATTTCTCTGACCAGAAAATTTTAAGAAGTTATTATATAGTTTTATTAAAACATTTAAAAGTCGATAAAACAGTTTCACTAATTTATTTAGTAAATCAAGTGACTAGAGTAATTATTGAAATTCTACTAAAAAATTAGTAAAATTTTACTAAAATTAAAATATTGGTAATGAAATAAAATTAATCATATTTTACTTAATCAAATAGGGGAAAAACGTTTCAGTGAGTTAGAAAAAACACGCGACTATTTCGAATTGTGTATAAAAATTCTTTTCTGCGAACAAATGTAGAACATTAGTAAAAGTTTATTTTTACTCTCCTTTGAAATAATTTTAAGAAAATTAACTAAAAAGAAGAGTTGTCTGCTTTCAACTGAATTGTATCCATTCACCTGCATCTCTCTGAAATAGTGTATACATTCAATACACTCAACCCCGTCCCCTCTACTTCTGTGGCTTTGCAAACCCTTCAGTCCCACACACTGTTGTGCATTTCAAGAAAATCACAATCTACATTTCGAGAATAAGTCACTAAAATAGGATAGGATAATTGTGGTTTCAAGAGTTGTCACTTGAGTCTGAAATCTGAACTTCCCGAGAAACTTATTAATATAAATTACTATATGACTTTATTTGACTGAAATCAAAATATTGGTAATGAAATAAAAACAATTTCATACAAAAACGAATAAACTAATAATTACTTTAATCAATTTTTTACTTTTCTATAGAATTATTTACTCAAAAAATGTTATTTTATTTTTCCCTGACTTTATCCTGATTTCCAGACTAAATTTTGACTTCTTCTCTGATTTTAAAAAATATTCTGATTCAGTTTAACAATAATTAGATAAAATGTTTCTAATTTGTGAATATCTTTAATTGTAAAATTATTCAGAAACATCAACAGTTCTTATGAAATAAACAATTAATCGTTATTATTATTTTCCCATACAAATTAAGATTTTTAAAAATTTTATACCTTTTGAAATTCAATAATTTATAAAAATTTGTTACTGTAACTTCTCAAAATTTATTTTCATGATTACAATAATTCTATTATTTTATTCTAGAATTTTTAACTAAAATTCTTCTCAAAAATCAATTAATTTTAATAATTTAAAAAAAAAGTTTTCTCAGAAGAAACATAGAATTTTTAATTTTTTTAAACTGTCTTAGAATTTTCAATTAAATTTTTTTTTAAATTTTAATTTGAATTCTTTTGAAATTTTATTATTATTTATAAAAATTGTAAGCACAAACTGTTATAAAATCCAATTATTTTTGCAATATTTGAGTAAAATTATTCATTACATAATTTTTAAGTAATAATTTTATAAGAAGGTAAATTATTTTAAATAAATTCAGTTACATATTCTGAAAAATTCAATTTTTGTCTTAAATTTTCAGAACTTTAACTAATTTCAAGAATATTTAAATAACAATTTTTCATAATAAACTAACTGCCTCAGAATTTTCAATTGAAATTTAATTTAAAATTATAATTTAAAATTGAAGTAGATAATTAATTTAAAACCTTTTGAAATTCAATTATTTGTAAAAATTGTAAACGCAACTATTATAAAATTAAATTAATTTTGGAATTTTGGAGTGATCTTATTTATTGAATAATTTTTAAGTAATAATTTTATAAGAGGTAAATTATTATAAAAAAATTCAATTTCGTATATTCTGTTAAGTTCAAATATTGTCAAGAAAAGAAAAAAATAGAAGATTTTGTATTACATTGAAAAAAAATTTATTTGATTCAAAGAACCGATCACCTATCTATTATGAAATAAATATTTAATTGAAACCAATAATTTTTATTTAAATGAATTAAATAGTTGATCTAATAATTTGAGTATTTGAAACAAATACCATTTAATTGTCTCAAATAAACATTATTTGATTCAAAAGTAAATATTTAATTGATAATAGTCAAGTAATCGATTATTTGCATAAAATAAATTTTTTTTTTCAGTGTAAAAATCGTGACAATTTTAAAGTTTATAAGACAAACAAAAAGAAATTCAAGAATATTTAATAAATTTTTATCTTTTTAATATTTTTTAAGTCTCTAAATTTAAATTAGTAAAATTTTTTACTAATTTGATTTAGTGAAATTTCTTTTAAAGTAATTTATTATTCATTTTTTTTCATGAATAAACGAATTGAAATAATATGTTAAATTGTTTATTATATATTTTTAAAATAGATATTAAAATTTCAAAACGTGGAAATATTGTAATATTTTAATATAAATGTAACAAATGACTGACCGGAAAATTGGTTGGTTGTTTGGTTTTGGTTATTGGCATCTTGTCTCCATTTACCAGAATGTTACAAAAGCGGAAAATAGGACGTCGTCCAGTCTTCTTATTTTACGGTGTGCTCTACGTAAATAATTTTAATGACCTCCTCCTGTAATATAATTAGAAATACTTATTTGTAACATTACGGCTTTCACAAATTTTACCAAGAAAATACAAAAGAACAAATTAAATTTAAAATACAAATTAAGATATAAGAGATTAATTTAAAATATAAATTTAAAGATAAAAAAATATAAATTTAAAAAATTTATTTATAATATGCAGAATGCAATAATTAGAATTAAATTTTAAATTTATAATATATTTTAAAGTTTAAAATCGTTCTATTTTGGCAAATTTAGTTCTCTAACAGAAAGTTATTTGTTTCTTATATACTTCAATCAATTTTCAATTTCAATTTAATTATTTTCAGCTCTATAATGTATGTAATGATATTAACAAGACCATAAGTAGAGCAGTCAATAAAAATGAAACATTTTAATTATTAATTATTTAACATTTAATTAATATAAAATTAATTAAATGAGAAAATAATTTACTAATTACATTAAGATTATCTGGTAGTTAAATTGCCTTGAAATTATTTATTTGATAAACTCGCATAAATTTGAAATGAAGAATAAATACCTAATAATAAGTATAAATAAAATTAATAAAACACAATTAGTAAGAAATTAGTTAAAAAATTGTTTGTTAATAAATTAGTAATAAATCGTTTAATAATGAATTAGTACTAAACAATTATTAGTTTAATATACAATAAGAAATGTTAAAATATAATTAATTAATATAAATAACGATTTAAATTTTGTTGTGTAATTTAGATTTAAAAAGTCACGCAAATAGATTAATAAAACCAACTGCAAATGAGAATAAACAATATACTTAACTTTAGAAAACAATAATTATAATTATTATATAATAATAATAATAATAATAATTATCTACTTTGCCTAATATCTAACAACTCGCAGCAAATTGTCTGGTTTCAATCGGGTTTTCGATTTCCACACGGGTAGAATTCGTGGTATAATTTCATTATTTGAGGCAAACAAAAAAGACACAAAAATTCAGAATTTTCTTATTAATTGAATTAATGATTGAATTAAATCAATTCATTGAATTAAGAAGCAAAGTCTTTGTAAATTAATTCTTTTCCAATAATTAATAATTAATCAATTGATTGACTTGGAGGATTGATAACTTCTTATGCATATTAATTAATTGATTGTTTAGGATTAATTAATATAGGTGATAAAGTAACCCTTGAATAGACACAATGGATCCGATAATTTTTTACACAAAACACTGTGTAATCAAACTTTATTATTGGCTATTATTATCCAATATATATTTAGAAGAGTAGGTAAGTAAATAAGTTAGTTATCTTCGCTCAAATTTCATGTGAGATGTAGTCTGTATACTATAATTAGTGCGGTCAACCATCGTACACTATTACCCAAAGTGACAGTCAGTATACCTATATAGATCGACTACCACTAAATCATTATGATAATTAATTATTTCTAGAGAATATTTTTATATTACCTATTTCTTCTTGACCGCCAGACATAGTAACTCTTACAATGATTCATCTTTTTTCTTCGACTCGAAATATTTAAACATTTTGGTGTAAATCGCAAAAATTGAGATATTTTTACAGACAAATATTTATTGTATAGATGAAATTCATAGTCAAAGTTAATTAATACTTTCTTAAATGAATTTAAGTATAAGCGATATAAGCGAAAAATACTTGTAAACATGATTGAAAATTATGTTTGACTATGAACCGTTATCACCGTTATCACTGAGGAATTAAGGTTATGTTTGCTTACCGGTTATACCGGAAGCCGGAAGCAACAATTTTGCAACATTGTTTGATAATTTAAATTTTAGATGACTGTAGAAAGTAGTAACTTACAAAAATGCTATTAAATAATATTTATATTATTTCACCCAATTATTAAAACTTTTTTGATACGGTTTTTGCGAAAAAAGACATAAACGGGATTAATAATTTCGGAACAAAAATTCAAATTCTATCAGGGTGGAGTCCCATGACAGCGTTTTGCGTTGCGTTTTTTAACTAGGCCATGAGTGCAAATATAGCAAACATATATCTCCATCTCTCTCACACTCATTGCCTAGTTACAAAACGCAACGCAAAACGCTGCCATGGGACTTCAGCCTCAGACAAAAAAAATTGAATTTAAAAATTTGACAGCTCTCTGTGTTATTAAATGTAGGTAACATTGAATTGAATCATTCGCCGGTAAAACAGATAGAACATTATTGTTTCCCGTAATACTCGTTGAATGACGCTTCAGTTCTTAAGTGGTGACAAGTAGTTTTCACAAACGGATCAAATTAGTGTTAATAGACAGTTATTATTGTAAAATAAATAGTTTAAATCGCCATTGTTCAAGTTGTTTTTTTTATTTTGAAAAAAACAATGTTATCATGGTTGTATAAAAAAAGAAGAATATCAAATAGAACCTCAAAAAACTTCAAAATGGCTTTCTACGCTCAGTAAGTTGAATGGCATAAAATTTCAAGTTTTTTATGAAAGACAACAAAATTTTAAATTAAACGTAATTGTTTTTTTTATTGATGAAAATGGTAATTTTTTGTATTTTGAAAAATTGAATTTTCACCGTAATTTGAAAAAAAATCTATTGATATCAATAGGTTTTAATTGTTATAAAGAAATTGAAACAATCAATTTGTATTCGCTGACGTGTCACCGGCTAGGCTAACCAAATTTAATATATAAAACCGGCGTGATATAGATATTGTAGATGTATGGTTTATAATTTATTTTAATAGCAGAGTCCAAGCTGAAATCATTAAATCGTTCCCCAACGAACGCAAAAAATTATCTAATTTTAGAACACGCTTTATAAACACGAGGGTCAATTATATTTTTACTCTTTGACGAAGTCTGTTGAATATTGTTGCTAATAGAATGATTTTTTTTATTGCTATCACTTGATGATAATTTAACTATATAAAAAGTTTTTTCAATATAAACATAAAATAGCAATATAACTTAATAGTTTTCAAAACTTGTGTTTGTAATTTTATTTCAGAATAATACAATTTTGCTTTTCAGTTTGATATTTTTATGTCAAATTCAGGGTGGCCACTTGTCGCAGTAAAGTCAGGGAAATGTTAGGAAAGCAAAATTTTTGTCAGTAAATTCAAGGAGATAACAGGAAAAAAATTTTTTTGTCAGGAAAATTAAAAAAGTTGAGACTTTTTTCTACTTATTTTCAAAAATTACAAATTTTTCTACTTTTCTTCCAAATATTGCAACAAAATACCACAATTTTTAGTAAAACAAAAAAGTGTAACTTATTTCGATTTTTATAGTCCGAAAGATATCTATAAACAAATCTTTCAAAAATTATTTTTCAATAATTTTTTAAGATAATTACATTTTTTAAACATATTTACAATAAAAATATTTTTAAATAATTGAAATTTTGCAAAATTTAATTGAAAATAATTGCTTTTTCTTAAGTATTATTATATTACAATTTTTGAAAACCAACCTTTGAAGAATTTTCATTGCAAATTTGGAAAATAATTGAATTATCAAATTATTTTAATGAAGATTTTTTAAATGTAAATTTAAAAATGAAAAGTAATGAAAATTAATTAAAATTAGCTTCTAATTTTTTAAAATTCAATATTTTCAATAATATATTTCCGAAAATTCAAATACATACAAAAAATAATATTTTAGAATTTTTTTTCAACATTTTGGAGAAAGAAATCATGTTTAAAATTTTTAATGAAAATTCATCAAAAAAATTAATTAGTTTTTTTAAATTATACAAAAATTCTTTCAAGAAATTCTATTATTTTCGAAAAATTACATTAATAGATTTAAAAAACTAATTCTTAGAATTATTTTATCATAATTTTTTTAAGATTCCATTATCTTGGAACAAAATAAATAAAACTTTACTTTTTAGACTTGTTAAAATTTCGGAAAAATCATGTTCTTATTTATAATTGAAATTCTTTAAAAATTTGATTTTTTTTCAAAAGTTCAATTGTTTTTAAAAGATTTTACTAAATTTCAATTGTTTGGAAATTTTTCAATTTTATATAATTAAACAATTATTGTCTTTCAAAAATTATTTTAAAATACTTTAGAAAATTTAATTTTAAGAATTTCTTTACTATAATTTTTTGAAAATATTACACCTTAATAACTTAAGAAAAAAAAACATGGACAGTTACAATTATTATCAAAAAGTGAGTTTTTGTATTTAAATGATTGAATTATTCTTGAAGAACTTTCGGAAAATTATTTAAAATAATTGATTTAGAGATGAAGTTTAGTTGAAAATTGTAGAAAATAATTGAATTCAGGAAGGGTTATAATTGTAATTTTTAGAAATTATTAAATTTCGTAAATTTTACTCATTTTCCGTAAACTTTCATATTTTTCTGTAAAAAGAATTTTGTCAGGGAAAATAATTTTAATGTCAGTAAATTGTCAGGGAAATTGAAATTTGATAATTAATTGTTGTTTTTTTTCTTTTAGAATTGGAGTTCTTATACTATGCAGTACCGTTCTGGTATCAGCAGTAGATAGAAATAATTTCAAAACCTGTGAACAGAGCAGTTTTTGCAGGTAATTATTAAAACTTATTTTTGTGATACCTATAGAAAAAAGATCTAGTCATTAATCGAATATTTAATATTTCAGACGATGCCGAAAAGTTGAGCCTGGAAATTCAGCTTATACACTTTTGTCAAATACAGTGACGAACGATGAAAATTCATTGAGTGCCGATCTTTTTAATAACAATACAGATATTTTGTATATTCTAAAATTAACAGCCCTTCGTGATAACACGTTCAGGCTTTATGTTAATGAAAAATCTCCAGCACATGCTAGGTATGAAGTGGAAATTTCCCTTCAGGGTGAGCCTCAACTTTCAAAAATTGATGCTGTCGAAAAATCCGAAGAATTCGTAACAGTGAAAAGTGGAGCAAACAAAGCAGTCTTATATTTTAGACCTTTTAAAATTGATTTATATTCTCGTGATCAACTCGTCATTTCTACAAATGCAAGAGGTTTGATGAGATTTGAACATATTCGAAATAAACCCGAACCGTGAGTGTATTTTTTCTGAATTCATAATTTGATCTAAAAGAAGATTAAAATGATTTTCTTTATATTTTAACCGTGAATTAATTTTGCAGAAAACAGGAGGAAGCACAAGAGGGTGAAGAAAATGTCGAACCACAAGAACCTGCGAGTGAACCGCAACATCCTGGCGATGGTGCTGACAGTGATCAAGGAGCATGGGAGGAGAATTTTAAATCTCATCATGATTCAAAACCACTAGGACCAGAGGCAATTGCTCTAGATTTTAGTTTTCCAGGAGCCGAGCATGTTTATGGAATTCCAGAGCACGCAGATTCACTTGCTCTAAAATCCACTAAACAAACTGATCCCTACCGATTGTACAATTTGGATGTATTTGAATATGAACTTAATGAAAGAATGGCTCTCTATGGAGCTGTTCCCGTTCTATACGCACATGGGTTTGTATAGAAAAAGAATTAACTATTTTAAATTAATAAAATTAACTATTTTTAAAAAAAGTAAACTATTTGTTAAAAAAGTAAACTTGTTCTCTAAATATTGAATTATTACGAATTTCAGTAAAGAAAGAACATCGGGAGTATTTTGGAATAATGCGGCAGAAACTTGGGTCGATATTTTGTCAAGCGCTGACAATAATGTTGTTGAGAGTATCGTTAATCTTGTGACCGGATCAAAAAAATCTCAGGTCGATGCTCACTTTATGTCTGAATCGGGTGTGATTGATGTATTCTTTCTATTGGGTCCAAAGCCTCTCGATACTTTTAGACAGTATGCACTTCTAACCGGAACTGCACCTTTACCCCAGGTAAGAATTTACAAAACTAAATCTTAATGAAAAAAAATAAAAAGTAAATTCGCCTTTTTCTAGTATTTTCAATTTAACCAAAATTATAAAAAGATTTTCTATTAATCAATTTTTCATAGACATATTTTTCTGATTCCCTGATTCGCTGAACATACAGTGAATTTTCAAATTTACCAACTGAATTTCTAGTTCAGTTGTCAAGTAATTCAGAAAAAGAGGATAAATTCTATTCCATATGTTTGATTATTACACATTCAGCAAGAATTCGATATCAGTGTAAAATCTATTTCTCAATATTTTAATAACTGTAGAACATTTGACAGCTGTTTTGGATTGTTTGCTTGCGACGTGTCACTGGTTAATGATACCAACCTGATAAGTGATTAACAAATTGTAAACGCAATTTTTTTGGAATCTTGTTGGTATCGTAAACGTGGCAATTATATGAAATGTCGTCTGAAAATTTTATCAAAAGTATTGGATTTTTTCAAAACTCTAGAATCGTTAAAGAAAATTCTGCTTTTTGACAGCCAGCAACCTTTGGAAATATTAAAAATATTTAATTCTTTTTGAATTATTTTGTTCGCTTTAAAAACTTTTAAATAACCATGAATTTTATAACAAAACTCGCGAATTTTTGTTCTCTATTTCTGACAATAATAATATAATGGAACTTCAGAGACTATGGAATTGAATTTGATTTAAATAATTTTATTCTCGAAGAACTATCTTAAAATTATTATTTTTATTGATTAATTAGTGGAAAATTTTACTTGAAATTTATAAAAATAATTGAATTCTGAAAATTTTGCAGTTGGGATTTTTATAAATAATTGAATTTCAGAACGTTTTAAATTAAAATTTTTGAATATTCCAATTTCCTTGGGAAAATAATAATAATGATTAAATATTTACTTAAAAAGAAATATTAATGTTTCGAATAATTTTACAATTGAAGATATTCACAAATTCAGAATTGGCACAAAAACTTAAATTCGTTTTTTCTAGACTTTTCCCTAATTCCGAGACAAAATTTTAACTTTTTCCCTGATCTCTATAAAAAAAATTCCAAGAAATTTTAATTATAAAACCAGATAATTTTTAGAAGTAAAAATTTAATTTAAAACTTTAAAAGTGTCAATCTATTTTAAAAATAAAATGAATTAGTTTGGCGAATTTCCCTCAATTATTCAAATTCAATTATTTCAAAAAATATTAATTACTTATTTATCAAAATTCAATTGTCTTGGAAGAAAAGAACTAAAATAATTAATTCTTCAGAATTATTCATTGTAATACTAAATTATTTCCGAAAATTGCAATGTTTTTTTAAACTAATATCTTTTATGAGTTAATTATAATTAATAACAGACTTAAAGAAAATTAATTATTTTCAGAAGTAGGAAATCAAGTAAAAAAAATTCATTAAAAACCAGAATTTTTATAGTAACTTTAGAAGTTTGTTATTTTTTCCAGTACTTTTGATAATATTTTGTGACATTTCTCTGATTTTCATTTTTAAATAAATTTTTATTTTGAAAATAAATTAAAACTGAAAAAAATAACTATGAAAATTCAAAATTTAAAATTAAATAGAAATTTTATTTTGAATTTTCCTGGAATTTTTCACGAAAATAAATAATTTTAATTTAGAATTCCGAAAAAGGTAGTTATTAAAAAATTTTAACTGAAAGTTATTAACACTTTTGAAAATTTTCATTTAAATTTTGAAGAAGTTACCTAGCTTTTGAAATATTTTTATTTAAACTTTCTTGAAATTAGTTGAATTTTTGAATATTTATGATAATTGAACTTGCAGTTAATATGAAATAAAAATTTTAAATAATTTTTATTAAAATTTCTGAAATAGTTGGTTTTTAAAAAATTTTTATTGTTGAAATTTGTTGAATTTTTGAAAATAATATATTTAATTGAAAAATTTTCGAATAATCGAAATTTCGTAAATTTCAATTGTAAACAAGTGGAATTAAGAATTATTTTTCTTTTTTCATCGAATAATTGAATTTTCAAAGAGCTTTCTCTCAAAAATTATTGAAAATAATTAATTTAGAGAAGAATTTCAGTTAAAAATTGTATAAAATAATTAAATTGAAATCATGAAAATTATTTTTTCATCGAATAATTGAATTTTCAAAGAGCTTTCTTTCGAAAATTATTGAAAATAATTAATTTAGAGAAGAATTTTAGTTAAAAATTGTCAAAAATAATTAAATTGAAATCATGAAAATAATTTTAGAAAAGTTACAGTAGCAATTCTCGTAAATTATTGAATTTATTGAATTACAAAAATTTTGAGTTTTGAAAATCTATTCCTGTAGAAAAATATTAATGATTAAATATTTATTTAAAAGAACTATTGATATGACGTTTTCGAATAATTTTACAATTTAAGATATTCAGAAATAAATGTATTAGAAAAATTTCTTGTTTATCTAATAATTTTTGGAGTGAATTAGAATATTCTTTAGGGTCAGGGAAGGAGTCAAAATTCTGACGAAGTTAATTGCACAACGTTGATCAACGAAAAAAAATTTGTTAAATTTATTTGAATACTACTTTTAAAAAATATATAACAAATAATGTTGAAATATTAATAAAAATTTCTTTTTTAAAAATAATTTTTGTGTCAATATTGCCACAAAATTGTTTCATTATACATTTTATACTTGAGTAATATTCTTATTGAACATTGTTTTTCGTTGATCAACGTTGTTTGGTAACTTGGTAAATTCTGTCTAGAAATCAAGGAAAGACAAAGTCAAATTTTTGTGACAACCCAGTAATTATTGAGGAATTTCTTAAAAAATTTATGAACATGAAAATTATCGATGAATTTAACTTGAAAAAAATTTCTTGTTTAATTTTTTGCTCTCTTTAGCAGCATAATTTTTATGCATCACTCACGAATTATTCTTATAAGTAGAATCCAGAATATGGAATTTCCAAGTTGAATGAAAGAATTCTTATTTCTCATTTTCATTTTTAATAACACTTGCCACTATTTTTACAGATTTTTTCACTGGGTTATCATCAGTCTCGTTGGAATTACAACGACCAACAAGACGTTCAACAAATCGCGGATAATTTTGATAAATATGACCTGCCAATGGACGTGATGTGGCTCGACATTGAATACACGGATAATAAAAAGTATTTTACTTGGGACCAGCGAAAATTCCCTAATCCAACGGAAATGATTCAGAATTTAACATCGAAATTGAGAAAACTCGTGGTGATCATTGATCCCCATATTAAACGCGATGAAGGCTATCATGTTCATAATGACGCGACAAGCATGGATCTTTACGTTAAAGACAAAGACGGCAAAGTGTACGAGGGTTGGTGTTGGCCTGGATCATCATCCTATCTCGACTTTTTCGATCCAAAAGTTCGTGACTACTACATGAATCAATATTCCTTCGATAAATTCCCCGGCACAACTTCCGATGTTTACATATGGAATGACATGAACGAGCCGAGTGTATTTAATGGACCGGAGATAACGATGCCGAAGGATATGCGTCATTTTGGTGGCTGGGAGCATCGCGACGTTCACAATATCTACGGAATTATGCAAACAGTCGCAACCTATGAGGCATTATTGAGAAGATCAAACCGCTCCCTGAGACCGTTCATTCTAACGCGATCTCATTTCGCCGGAACTCAAAGATACGCCGCCGTTTGGACGGGTGACAATATGGCTGAATGGGGTCATTTGAAAGCCAGTTTTCCAATGTGTTTGTCCCTCGCAATTTCTGGAATTTCATTTTGTGGAGCTGACGTCGGTGGTTTCTTTAAGAATCCAGACGCTGAACTCTTTGTCAGATGGAATCAAGCCGGTGCTTGGCTTCCATTCTTCAGGCAACATTCACACATTGAAACAAAACGTCGTGAGCCATGGACATTTAATGACGAAGTGACGCAAATTGTTCGCGAGGCATTGAGATTACGTTATTCGTATTTACCACTTTGGTATACACTTTTCCGTGAACATGAGATTAATGGTACTCCAGTATTGCGACCACTTTGGGCACATTATCCACAGGAGGCCGAGACATTTACGATTGAAGATGAATTATTGGTGGGTGATTCGATTCTCGTGAGGCCTGTATCTGAACCTGGTGTCACTGATGTTAATGTTTATTTGCCGGGCGAGGGCAAAGTTTCTTGGTATGACATTGATACAATGCAACAACATAGACAGAGTACCATTACTGTTCCTGTGACACTTCACAAAATTCCCGTTTACCAAAAGAGCGGTTCTATCGTTCCAAGGAAAATGAGGATAAGACGTAGCACTGCTGCTATGAAAAACGATCCTTATACTTTGATTGTCATCGCTGACAATGCTGGAAAGGCAACTGGTACACTTTACATTGATGACGAAGTCAGTTTTGAATATCGTCACGGAAATTATCTCTATTTGAAACTTTCTCTCGATGGAAATAATTTGACTTCGAAAATGTTGGATAAGAAAGCAAATTATAAAACCAAAAGTTGGTTGGAGAGAATAGATATCGTTAATCCACCTAAAGGAATTAAATCCGCTCAGCTAACTTCTAAGAGTAAGTATTATTTTCTACTAAACGGTACGATTTCACTTCTATCTTTTTCCCTTAAACGATCGACTACATTTTCTAGATTACAGGTCAAAAAATCCAGACAGAAAAATCCAAGAAAATATGTCCAAAGTACAAAAAATTCAAAATAAAAATATCCAAAGTCAAAAAATCCAAAATAAACAAAAACGTCAAAAATAAATAATGAAACATGCAAAAAGCCACGTATAAAATCGGAATTTAAAATGTTAATGTTAAAATCGCAAAATTTTAATTTTTTACATAAATAATAAAATTCTACACAAAAATTCAATTATTTTCATAAATAAAAAAATTCTTCAAAAAAATTCAATTATTTTTATAAATAAAAAAATGTCTAGAAAAATTACAATTATTCTATAAAATTTTTAAAACAATTACTCCAAGAAATACAATTATTTTCAACAATTTTGATAAAATTCTTTACAAAAATTCAATTATTTTTTTCAATATTATATTATATTTTTTTATATCTAAATTTTTTACATTGGATTTTTAATTTATTTGGACTTTTTGACCAGGACAAAAAATAAGTCCATTGCAGGGATCACAGACTATCTCCTTTTTTAAATTGTTACCCAATTTTCATCTATTTTACCTATTTTGTAAATTTTACAAATATTTTCAATTTAAATTAGTCTCTAAAAATTTGAAAATTTTTAGAGTTATTACTAAGTTATTATTATTTATTATTAATTACTTAATTTTTAATTACTAAAACTTAAAATTTTCCTCGATTAAAGTCTTAATTGATTCTGAATTTAAAAATGTTTTTTAAGCAAAAACAATAATATTTTTTATATATATGAAGTAGAATTTATCACTCGGTCGAAAATTATATATATGTGAGAAAAAATCATTCTTTCCGAGTCAAATAATTATTTGACTCGGAAAGAATGATTTTTTTCTCACATAAATAATATTTTTTGTTTACAAATTCTTCCTTTTTAAGTTGTCGATGAAGAAAAATTGAGGAATTTTTTTTTTTAAACAGAAATTTTAATAAAAAAACTTTATGTTTTCTAGTAATTATAAACGTTGTGAACTTCACAACATTTCTATTAAATGAATTTTTATTCATTTAGTCATTTATCTATTTTATTTAGTCCACATCAGTAAACTTTCAACTTTTTAATCTTCAGTTATTAGGAGAAAATAAAATTAATGAAAATGTGGTTAAATACAAATTACTTATTTTGCATAATTTTTTGCTAATCATCTTCTTCTAACCTATGTTTTGAAAATAATTTACCTTTTCACTTATTTTAAGAAAAAAAGAACTTGATCCTTGGTCACTGACTGATTTTACAAATTATTACAATATATTTACTAAATTATAAACAAACTATAGTTTAAATTAAATTTCCTCATATTTTTATTAATTTTATAATTTTTAACGTCAGTGAAGTTCATAACGTTTACTATCAACGATTGAAAGAAAATAAAATTATCCACGAGGAAATCAATCAAATCTTTAGGCTTGCAAATTTTTCTTTTCTAAATTATTAATCAGGAAAGTATGTAAAACCATTTTAAAACAAAAATTTGTGAATTTCGATAATTTTTTTAGATTTTTGATACTAAAAGCTACTTTTTTCTTTTATTCGCAAGAAAGAATTTGCACTACTTTACATCCGCTAATAGTTAAAATTTTTTAATTATTCTCAAAAATATTAATTAAATTCTTAGAAATAATTGAAAATTTTTTAATAAAATTCTTCGAAAGAATTTAATTATTTTCAAAAAATTTAGTAAACTTTTTCAAAAGAATTCAATTTTATTTTCAAAAATTTCAATAAAATTTTTCGTAAGAATTTAATTATTTTCAAAAATTTTTCGTAAGCATTCAATTATTTTCACAAATGAAATAATAGAAATTTTTGCAGGAATTCAATTTATTATTTTCAGTATTTTCTGATTTAAAAAAGTTCTCGAAATAATTCAATTATTATTAAAAAAATTTTTATAAATTTCTATGAAAAAAATCAACTTCTTTTAATAATTTTGATAAAATTTGTTTGCAAGAATTCTATTATTTTATATACAATTGTAATTAGGTACGTTCTTCGAAAGCTTTAAATTATTTTAAAAAATTGTAGTAAAAAATTCTTCAAAAACTTCAATTATTTTCAAAAATTTTAATAAACTTCTTTGCAAGAATTAAATTTTCACAATTTAATTCTTAAATTTTCATAAATAAGTAAAAATGGTCACAGGAATGCAATTATTCCAAAAAATTATAAAATTCGTTGAAAGAATTCAATTATTTTCAAAAATAAGTGAATTCTTCGCAGGATATAAATTATTGTATATTGATACAATTTTAAATAAATTCCTAGAAATAATAAAATTTCAAAATATTTTTAAATAGAAATCTTTGAAAATTTTAATTGTTTCAAAACTGTAATAATATTTAAATTATTATTTTAAAGATTTATTAATTTATTATTTTCCTAAAAACTATATTAAAGTATTGAATAAATTTGTTTAAAAAGTGATAAAAAATAATTTTTTATTTTCATATTTTATTTATTTTATAATTTTTTTAAAATTACAGTTTTAGTTAAATTTTAAAATGGCTTTATATTGAAATTATTAAAAATTTTAATTCATATGGTAAAATAAATTACAATAAGTATTTAAATATTTAATTAACAAAAATTATTAAAATTTTTGAGGAATTCTAACTAAAAATTTGAAAAATAATTGAATTTTACAAAATTTAGAATTTTGAAGTTATTACCTATTTTTCCAGCCTTAAAGTTACTTTTTGCATCTTTTTTAAAATTAATTATCGAGTGTGAAGCCTGTGATTATGAATGTCGTGAACTTTATTAACGTGATTTTTGGAAGCATATATTTTTTATTTTTGTAACTGATATTATTAATAATAATAATAATAATAATAATAATAATAATAATAATAATAATAATAATAATAATAATAATAATAATAATAATAATAATAATAAATATAATAGTAGGTAATAATAGTAAAAGTAGTAGTAATAAATAATAGAATAAAATAATAATTACAGTAAATGTAAATTTGATCGAGAATCCCTAATTATTTTTGATTTTTTGCAGGTCTGGGCAAAGTGACATTAGAAACAAAGTACAATCCACACAACAATGTACTTGTAGTGCGTAAACCAGGTGTAAATATGGGAGAAGAATGGACGATTGAATTAATTCATTAACAATTTCATTTAACTTCTTTATTTTATTCATTAAGTATCAGTTAATCGAAAAAAGCAGCCTACGTGAAGTTTCATCCATCTGTGATTCCACACATATTGCATCAGAATTAATAATTGTCAAGTGATCATTAAAAAATAGTGCAAAACTCTAAAACTCTCAGGATACTCACAGGCTTTATAGATAAAAAAAATTATATGTCTACGTAATTAAGCGTCGTAGGTTTGAAAAATATTTATGTAAATGTGTTTCATCATTAATGTACATTTTTATATACATGCCAAACTCTCATAGTACACGCAATAGTTTAATAATAAAAAATATGTTATGTTTAAAGAAAACATTTCTTTTGTCCATTTAAACAAATTTATTTATATTATCAACTATCTATATATATATATTTCTTTTTCATGATATTGTCCTTTATTTTATAAAAGTTAGGATTTTTCTCACTTGTGTCATTTAAGATTGTTTTGTAAAAATAAAAAATCACGAGTGGAATGTGTGGAGGATTAAAAAGAAAAATTTGTTTTGAAACAAAATTTCATTATTTGGGGGAAAATGCACGATTTTTATCATTATTAATCATGCACGTTCGGTGGGTGCTTGCTTGTGAGCTATATATAAAAACAATATGGATGACAGGGCAGACACTAAAAATATGACATCGAACCATCGATGGTAAAAATTGAATTGAAGATCACCTAAGACTTGCGTTATTATTATTCGATATTCGGCTGGCATATTCATTCGCATTAAAAGAACTGACGATACAAAATACATTCCCTGTAACAAACAAAAATTTCTTTTTAATGTAATTAAAATTTTTCATTTATATAATTTTATCAATTATCCACTTACCATTATTTGAGCAAGAATCAGAACTATAATATTCGATGACTTACTACTTGAGATCGCATAGAAAAACTGAAATAGTTAAAATCACATGAGACATATTTTCAAAATTGATCGTTATTTTGTTAATAATAATAATAATAATAATAATAATAAAATACCTTTGTTAATGTTAATAATAATCCTCTGATTGAAGTGACAACAATACATCCAACGAGATAAAATGAGATATGTTGTGACCAAAAGGTGACGTCAATATTAAAACCCATCCAGTGAACCGCTATTTCCATTCCTCTTGTCACTGGATCTTTTTTACCCACTCGATCAAAAACTATATTAATTATCGACTGGAAAATAAAATTTTTTATTGGTTATTTAGAATTTAGAATTTTTAATATAAAAAACAAAAAATCATCAATACTTACAATAAATATTTTCCACATACAATAAATAGAGAAAAAGTAACCCAAAAAATTAAAATATTTCCCCTGCCATGTCGCAGCCCATTCTAATCGTTCTCTCGCATTTTGAATATCGTGAGCTTCCAAAAATAGTTGACGTGACAATTCCTCTGAGGCAGTGACTTCATGTTGAAGTTGTTTTATATCTGAAAATTAATTTTTTTAATTATGTAGTATTTTAATTTTACTTTTGAAATGTAGATTATTCAGAGTAGTCACAGGTCAGGGAAAAGTCTGAAAAAGTAGAATTGGTCAGAGAAATCGGAGATTTTTATTAAAAGTACTGGAGAAAATTTAATTTTTCAAATTCATAAGAAAATTCTGAATTTTTGTGCCTTTTTTATCTGCCTCATAAACTATAAAATTGCCACCAATTCTAATACAAAATCTTCCATTTTTTTTCTATTTCTCACAATAATTTCTTTTTAAATAACTTAATTCTTGAAGAACTATCATAAAATTATTACTCAGAAAATATTTAATTAATAATTTTACTTAAATATTTCAAAATTAATTGAATTTTAAAAGAGTTGTGTTTACAGTTTTTATAAATAGATGAACTTCAAAAGGTTTCAATTTGAAATTTTTAAAAATTTCAATTTTGAATTAATATGATTAATAATTTTAAAGAATTAAGGTTTTTGAAGAATGTTAATAATACAAATTCGTCTCAAAAAACACTAATAAAATTGAATTTTGGAAAAGTTACAAATTATTCCAGAAATTCAATTATTTTCAAAAGTAATAAATTTCTTCACAGAAATTCAATTATGTTCAAAAATTTTTTTTAATTCTCGTCAAAATTTCAATTATCTTTATAAATAATAAAACTCTTCTCCAAAATTCAATTATATTCAAAAGCTTTAATAAAATTCTTGGCAAAATTTTAATTATTTTCAAAAATTTTCCTCTATTTAATGATTTTCAACATCTATTTTAATAAAATTTTTCAAAAGAATTCAATTATTTTTAATAATGTAAATTTCCTTCCGAAAGTTTTTTATAAAAAAAAATAAAAAATTTAATACAATTCCACGCAAACATTCAATTTTTTCATAAATAGAAAAATTCATCTTAAAAACTCAATTAAGTATATTCAAAAGTTTTAATAAAATTCTTGGTAAAATTTCAATTATTTACAAAAGTAATAAAATTCTTCCCAAAAATTCAGTTATGTTCAAAAGTTTTTTAAATTCTCGTCAAAATTTCAATTCTTTTTAGGTATAAATAATAAAATTCTTCTCCGAAATTCAATTATATTCAAAAATTTTAATAATATTCTTGGTAAAATTTCAATTATTTTCAAAAATTTTCCTTTAATCAATAATTTTCAATATATACTATTTTAATAAAATTTTCTAAAAGAATTCAATTATTTAAAAAAGACTGTAATAAAATTCTACGCAAACATTTAATTATTTTCATAAATAATAAAAATTTCACGCAGGAATTCAATTATTTAAAAAAGACTTTAATAAAATTCTACGCAAACATTTAATTATTTTCATAAATAATAAAAATTTCACGCAGGAATTCAATTATTTACAAATTTTTTTATAAATTTCTTCGCAATAATTCAACTATTTTCATAGATAATGCAATTTTTTACAGTGATTCAATTATTTTCATATAAATAATAATTCATAGCAGAATTTCAATTATTATTAAGACATTTTTAATCAATTTCCTCGAAACATGTAATTATTCTTAAAATTTTTATTAAAATTTGTCGGAAGAATTCAATTATTTAAAAATTTGTTGATAAAATTCTTTATGAGAATTTCATTTTTAGAAACATTCAAATTATTCAATAAATGATTTATTTTTATATTTAAATAATTGAATTTTCGTAGAATTTTCTAATAAAAAATTATTTAAAAATGAATTGTAGTTAAAATTTTAGATAATAATTGAATATTAAAAGCATTATAACATGAATTTTTGGAAATAATTGAATTTTGAAAAGGTTTCAGATTAAAATCTTTGAAAATTTGAATTTTTCATACTTTTAACTAAGAATTGTGTAGAATTAGTATTTTTGGAAAAGTTTAATTGAATTTTTATTGAAATTATTTGACGTTTTTATTTTATAATTTCTATTTAATTGAAAAATGGCAGAATAATCCAAATTTCGTAAAATTGAATTGTAAACAAATGGATTTGAAAATTCTCAAAGAACTTTTTCAAAAATTATTAAAAATAATTGTTTGAAAGAAAAAATTAAAAAGGTTTGAAAAAATTTTAGTTTAAAATTCTAGAAAATAATAATTGAATTGAAATGATGAAAATAATTTTGAACAAGTTACAGTAACAATATTCTTATAATATAAAATAATAATAACTCGGCCATCTTTAATTATTATAAAACATATAATATTCTTATTACATAGTAGCTGAATTTCAAAAAAGTTTGAATTTGAAATTTTTGAAATCTTAATTCCGATGAAAAAATAATAAGGATTAAATATTTATTTGAAATAAAACTATTGATGTTTTTGAATAATTTTACAAAACTAAAGAAATTTGTAAATAAATATAATAGAACATTTTTTTGAGTATCCAATAATTTTTAGAGTGAATGAGAATATTTTTCAGAATCAGGGAAAAAATCAAAATTTTGTCTGGAAATAAGAGAAAAGTAAGGGAAAAACAAAATTAAATTTTTGTGGCAACCCTGTTACTGTAGATTATTACAAAAATATTAATAGAAATTTCTGTCCTTAAAATTTTGAACGTTCAATTGAACAACAATATGTTTATTACTTCCGCTAATTTGAATTTTACTGTACAAAAACCTTAATTCTAATAAATTAAAAATTAATTAATATTACTTTCTTGATTTCCTGTTAAGCCACCTAATGGCAACATTCCCCAAAGTCGAGAACGGCCCTCAGTTTGGTCCCCAACTTGTCCCTTTCTAGCTAAGGCAATTCTTTTCTTTTTTGCAATTATCATGTCAATAGTTTGCAAAAATCGCCTCTCGATTGCTTGAACGTCGGCATATGATACTGGACGCATAAAATAGGCCATGGAAGAATACGGATAATTCACAGCACCAAATCCTGATAATAATGCCATTACAGTTACGCCAATAACTCCAATTCGACTCACTCCTTGTTCAATGGATAACACTCCTTTCTTTGGACTCAAAATGGGAAAAGGATCGCCGACTTTCCAAAATAAATAAAGATAAAATAGATAGACCATCATCGTCAACGGTCGTATGAAGTTTAATTTTACTGTAATTAAGATTCCAATATATTAGTAATAATTAAATAAAAAATTATCACTTAAGAAGAAAGTATTAAAATAAAACAAGTTTTGTGTTAAAGTAAAAGTGCAGACAAAATTTGATGATTTTATTAAATATTTCAATTTGTATTTAAACAAAATGTGTGTTTATTTGTTATACAAAATTAATTATACTCGATAAAGGGATAAGCTTCTAGAGAAATAATAATTTGTTTCTGTAGAAATGAAAAAGCCTAATACAGTTTTGTAGATGTATTTTTTTATTTAGGCCTTTTCATTTTATAAAATTTAATATTCAGCAGTTAACCAAAAGGATATAATAATTTATATTAAAAATGATACTAAATTTTAATATTTAACTCACCAAATCTTACGTTGCTGATAATAAAATAGGCAATGTAAAATGGTATTAATACGATCACCATAAAAAGAAGCATGTACAATCCAACATTCCAGTGAAAATATCTAGAACTGAGAAGAAAATTAAATCAATTAAAAAAGATGTTGTTTTTTTACTGTGAAATAATGTTAACTGCCTTTTTTTAAAAATAAAATTAGCAATTTTAAAAATAATAGAATTTAAAAATTTTCTAATTTAAATTTTTATTGAAAACCCAAAAAAATTCAATTTTGGAGAAATTACAAATAATTGCAGAAATTCAATTATTTAAAAAAGAAAATAAAATTCAACTATGTTCAAAATTAAAAAAAATCCCAATTATCTTTATAAATAACAAAATTTTTCTCTAAAGTTCAATTATTTTCATAAATGTCAAAAAAAATTTTTGTCCTAATTTCAATTATTTTCAAAAAATTTTCTAACTCCAATGATTTCCAATTATAAGATTTTAATAAAATTTCCCAAAACGAATTCAGTTATTTAAAAAAATTTTTAATAAAATTGCATGTAAACATTTAATTATTTTCTTAAATAATAAAAATTATACAGGAATTCAATTATTTTCATAAAAAAAAATTTGTTTAAGGAATGCAATTATTATTTTCAGAAAAAATAATTTAAAATTCTAGAAAATAATAATTGAATTAAAGTGATGAAAGTAATTTTGATGAAGTTACAGTAAAAATATTCTTATAATATAAAATAATGATTTTTATTACTTGATCATCTTTAATTATTAGGAAACATGAAGAAATCGATGTCTTCATGTTTTACAACAATACTTTAATAAGTTTTAAAAAAGGGTTAAATTTGAAATTTTTGAATGGCTTAATTTCTGTGGAAAATCCTGTTCCAAAAATAAGATTAAAAATAGAAATTGTGCAAATATTTTTCTTCTTTTTCTAAAACAAAATAATAATTTTGTTAAAAAATTGTGATTCATAAACAAAAATAATGCAAAATTAATAAATTTTCTATTTTTTAATCACAATTGTTTAACAATTTTCTAATTTTATTTAGAAGTAAAGAACAAAAATCTGCATAATATCAATTTGACAAAACATAATATTTAACAAAATTTCAATCTTTTAATGAAAAGAAGTGAAGAAAAATGTTTGAACATGATTGTTTTCTCTAAAATGTTAAAAATAATTCTAAAATGGTATTATTTTTGTATGTGTTTGAATTTTTGGAAATATGTAATTGAAAATACTTTAAATATTGAATTTTAAACAATTAGAAGATAATTTTCATTAATTTTCATTTTTAAAATTTATCCTTCAAGATTTTTCATTCTTCAAAAGTTGATTTTCAAAAATTGTAACAAAATACTTGAAATAAATTAATTATTTTCAATTAAATTTAACAACATTTTAACTATTTAAAAAGATTTTTATTATAGACATATTTGAAAAATTTAATTATGTTAAAAAATTATTTAAAAACAATTTTTGAAAGATTTGTTTAGTTATTTTTCGCATTATAAAAATCAAAATAACTTGCACTTTTTTACTAAAAAATGTGGTATTTTGTTGCAATGTTTGGAATAAAAATCGAAAAAGTCTCAATTTTCTTAATTTCCCTGACAAAAATTTTTTTCCTGACATTTCCTTGACTTTACTGACGAAAATTTTGTTTCCCTGACATTTTCCTGACTTTACTGACATGTGACCACCCTGCTAGTTATCTTTAATTTCTAATACTCACCTAGAATCTAATACACCAACAATTTCAAATATAATCAATTCAAACATTGTACAGGATAATGAAAAAGTAGTCGAGAAAATTAATTGCACCAATCTGTGATGGACTTCGTAATCGCGAAACAATTTTTTCACGAAAAAAACCCATCCTCCTAAAAAGAATAGAACCTGCAAGAAAGTCACTGAATAATTAAAAAATAAATTTATCGGTATAAAATATAAATATTAAAATAATATCAATTTATAAAAACTCATATAAATTTTAAAAATAATTAAATTAAATTTATTTAAAAGTTTCCTAATTAATATTACGAATTAGATATTATCTTTAATAATTCTAACGAAATACTTACATAATTCCTTAGGGTCTTTAAAATCACTTTAAAAAAATTGTACAACATATGTAATAATAACTGTACATTTTTTTTGTTCACGTAAACAATAAATTGTTAAAATTTACAATTTTCAAATAAAGAAACAAAAAGAACTAATAAAATTATTTAGATTGAGAAATAAGTATATTACAAATATTTTAATATATATTACGTGTTTAGAAAAATTTGTACGTTTAATTTGTAAATAAAATTACATAAAAATTAAACGTAAATAACAAAAAATAAACATAACCTTTGCATTAGAAAATTTTAGGTTAGGTTTGAATAAATATCGACATGGAACACTGACCTGTGTTACAAGAATAACAAACGTATCTTCAAAGAAACCCATAATTATTATTTGCTATTTTTTTCCTATGTTTAATAAAAAGAAATCCATTATTCTGTATATTTTTCGAAATGTTTCACATGACAGTTTTCAGTATTACATGGTTTGACATGGTTTGTAAAACTGATCAGCTGATTTTGCGCTGATTCACTCATTGGTTGATTTATGGCGGTTTATTTTAAAATCAAATTATTTGCGCATGCGAACTTATAAATTTTGGTAATTTTAAACTAATTTTTATAAAACAAATTATTATTACTATTATACTATTATCTTAATTATTATTATTATTATTATTATTATTTTACAGTATGTAAAAATTTGTTTTAATATAGTAATATTACTGTAATATTCCATGTAATAGTACCCAAGTAGCATGTAATATTGGGAACATTCCAGCAATATGCCACAATATTGAGGCAATATTGGTAATGTTAAGGCAATGTTCCCAATATCGCTGTAATATTACGTGCTACTGGGGTAGTAATATGAAGACATTAACACAAAGGTAATATTTCAGTAATTTTACTGGTAATATTTCAATGATATTACTGTATTTTTATCTGTAACATTACTTTCATATTATTATACAGATAAAATTACGGTAATATTACAGTAACATTATAGATAAAATTACTGTAATATTACAGATGTTACAGATAATATCACAGGAAATATTACAGTAATTTTACAGGAAATGTAACCTGTAAAATTATCATAGGTAATAATAATTATTACATGTAGTGCCTGTAGTATATTAATTTGGAGCTAAAATTGTAACATTACCGTAATGTTACTGGAAAATTGTAGTACAAAAGTAAAAATATGTACTGCTTGGGAGAATATTAAAGCAATCTTGCTGCAATATTGCTTAAAGTTCAAATGTTTTGCAAAATAAAAAAAAATTTGTCACTTTTGACAGAAAAGTTCGCACAGTTAAAAGCGAGTTCAAGGAATAAGAATATTTGTAAAAATAATAATGTAAATACCTCAAAATAGCAGGTAATATTAATAAACCTGTAGGTGAAGTCCAAAATAGATTATATAGTTTATTAATTGATGCCAATGGTCCATTATTCCCTGGATTCTTTCTTGTGTTTTGAGGTTATGTTGTCCGACTGAGGACTTATTTCAATCCTTGTTGTCATTATATCACTTGTTTCTTCACTTCGTCACTTCTATAATCATCAAGTCGCAGACAGGTTAATCGAATTTGAATAAATTATATTTAACTATTACACTGATATTAATAAACGAGATGAAACGAATGAAACTGATTTGTCTAACTAGACTTGTTTAACAACAAACTATTTTATGAAAACAATATTGTAAAACTTTCGTATAACTATACTAGATGGCGCCACTGTGAAAAGGGCGGGAAAAACAAGTTACGCATGCGCACAGAGTGTTTATAGTTACAGAAGCAAAATTGCAACAAATTTCCGCCTTTGTTTACATTCGTTTACGTAAAAAGACGTTTTGTACAAATAAAAGATTTTATTCAAATTATTCAACTTGATAGAGTGACCTCAACAGCGACATAATAAAAATTTTATAATGATCGAAATGAGTGTACAAGATAATGAAATAGGTAAATTCATTTTGACGCATTTTTTAAATTAACCGAATAGTTTAAGGTTAGTTTTGTATAAATAGACGCAGAGCAACGAGTTTTTATTTATAATTATAATAATATCAGAAAATGAATAAGTGAGTGTTAATATAATTAGAAAAAAAAGAGTAGAAACTAAATTATGCACCATTTATAATCTGTTTCAGTGATAAATAATACCTTCTCATGTGATGAGAATGTGGAAAAACATAATAATATGCGAAATAATAAGTGTCCACACGGCTACCGGCTGTCCATGCGGGTTCATCGACGTCTCTGTAACAGAATAAAATGCAACAATACACAATTTTTTCATTCTAAAAGAATGGTAAGTTTGAAAAATTTACGTTAATATTATTCTGACCTAAAATATGATCTAAACAATAGGAGAAGGTTACGCAAAAACAAATTTGTAATTCGCTCTGAAGAAAAGGACTTGGGAGACAAACAGTTTTATGTTACATTTGTAATTTTTGCATATATTTGGAAAATACAGAAAGATTAACATAAATCATTGATATTTAAGTCAATAAAAACTAATTTGGAATTTACGTATAATTATAGAGAGGAACTTTCAATAAAGACAAATCACAAACATAATCTATATAATTAGTTTGATCTTAAAGTCCATTTCTTCAGTGTGTTACATTACTTGTAAATAAAATAAAATAAAAAATAAAAATAATTCAAAACACAATAGTTAATTATAATTATAATTATATTTTCAATTTTAAAATTAATGTATTGAAAATCATCGAAATGTTACAAAGAATTTTATCAAAAAATTCGATAATAATATAGAATTCCTTCAAATAATTTTATTATTTAGGAAAATAACTGAATTCTCGCAAAGAATTTCATTAAAATTTTAAAAAATTTTAACTATTCATAAAAATAATTGAATTATTGCGAAGAATTTTACAATTTATGAAAATAATTGAAATGTTTCGAAGAATTTATTAAAATTTTAAAAAATAATTAAGTTGTTATGAAGAATTTTATAGAAATATTTGAAAATAATGAAGTTTTTTCCAGAAATTCAATAAAAGTTGTTTCGAAAATAATTGAATTTCTTTAAAGAATTTTAATAAAATTAAGTATATTCAAAATAATTGAATTCATCAAAAGAATTTTATTATTTTTTGAAAATAATTGAATTCTTTCCATTTTTTTGACGAATATATTTAAAAATTGCATTGAAAGTAATTTAATTTTTATATAAATTGAATTTTATGGAAATTTTTGAAAATTATTAAATTCTTTCGTGTAATTTTATTTAAATTTGATTAAAAATAATTTAATTCCTGCAAACAATTTTAGTATTTTTAAAAATAGTTAAATTGTTTCGAATAATTTATTAAAATTTTAGGCAATAATTGACATTTATGGAAATATTTAAAAATATTTGAATAATTGAATTTCTGCAAAGAATATTACAATTTATAAAATTAATTGAATTCTTGCGAAGAATTTTACTATTTATAAAAATAATTGAATTTTTTGGAAGGATTTTAGAAAAAAATTGAATTTTTTCGAAATGTGTTAAAATGTTTTTAAACAATTGAATTCTTCCGAGAAATTTCAGTTGCAATTTTTAAAAGTAATAAATTTTCAAAAATTTAAAAAAAAATTTAACTCCTGGAAAAATATATTTTTAAAAGTATTTAAATATGTAAGTTACTAATTTATATGAAGTTTTGAATAATTAAGTTTAGAAATTTTGAAAATATTAACTTCTTGAAAATTGTAATTGAAATTTTTTAGTGAAAATTTGAAAATTTGAAAAAATACTTTGAAAATAATTGAATTTTATACGAATATTAATGATCTACAAGTTTTATATGTTCAAAAATGAACGAAATATTTGCTATTAAAAATATTTTCATAAATTATTAATTGTAACAAAAATGAAAACTTTATAAATTTAACATTTAGAGATATGAAAAAAATAAATTTCGTTCAGTTGAAAGTTTAGAACTTTATGAGCATTACACCCAGAGAAAAATATTATTTAAACCAAATATAATTTATTTGAATTAAATAAAAGTATGTATATTTGTCTTAGACTCTACTAAATTATTTATTTGTTTTAATTAAAAATTTTATTTGAACCAAATAAATTTTTATTTGAACCAAATAAATTTTTATTTAAACCAAATAAAATGTACTTGAAACAAGAAAAATTTTATTCAAACCAAATAAAATTTATTTGAAACAAATAAAAAGTCTTGTTGGTATTGAGTCAAAATATATCTTTTTTCTGGGTATAGAATTAAAGTTATCAGAATAAGGGTAAGAGTTAACAAATTTCTGAAAATCAGGGTAAAGTCAGGTGAATAAAATATTGAAATATTTTCCAAATTTTTCCAAAATATTTTCCATTTAAATCCACAAAAATTTGATTAATTCGAAAAATTTTCAATTTGAATTTATTTTAATTAATCAAACATTTCAATAAAATTATTTAAAAAATAACTGATTTAAAATAAATTTGAATCCAAATTTGTCAAAGAACTAAGTTCTTTTCTAAATCAATTATTTTAAATAATTTTTAGAAACTTCTTTGAAAATTGAATTAATTAAAAAAAAAAAAAAATGAAAATCCATTCAAAGTACAATTTAAAATTCAAATTGGTTTCAATTCAATTTTACAAAAATTTCATTATTTGAAAATTTTTCAATATTTTTCGATCTTTTTCGCAATTTGAATCGACTGAAAAGAATTTTTTGGATCTTAAAATCGATCCGAGTCCTGATTTTCTTAAAAATACAAAATCTTCATAATTTTTTTTCCCTTCTATACACAAAATCTGTGGGAATATCTGAATTTGAAAAATTCACCCTCACATTATAGAAAATTGACCGCATAAAAGATTATTTCGTGCGTGTAACATATAAACAGTCCCAGTCCCATTTCACCCATTTTTTTCTTCTTTTTTTTTTCAAAGAAATTCCAGAAGCTTTGAGGGAACCGTTTCGTTTCTTTTCCCTCCATTCGAATCTCTAAAGCACCTGTTGTTGCTTATACCTGTTTCCACACACTTGGTGTGCTGAGTCCCTCGTTCACGCAAACCTGCGGCCGCGAATGCCACTCCAGTATTGAAGCGCACGTTGTCCCGGCATCAACATTATATATATCCACCTATAACACTACGCAGCTCTTTTTATTTACATTTAAACTTGATTCATTATTTTTCATTTTTTTTTTAAATTTTACTTTTACGCGCGTGACACTATTTTGATTTTATATCAAAAATTAAATTATGGAAAGGATAAGGGAATATTTGACAAGAATAATTTGTCATTTGGAAATATAAAGTGATGTGTGAACTGATTTGTGGCAAAAAACCGGAAATTTCTCTTTTACATATATATGTGTGAAGTGCAATGGTGATTATTTCTTGGAAAACGAGCTGAAATTTTCAGTTTAAAAAAAAAAAATAAATAAAACCTCTTTAACATGGAGGATAAAAATCAGGATACTTGCTATAGTCCGGGCAGCATTGCAGGAGCTGTTATTGGAACCTTTTTAACAACAATTCTGCTTTTTGCGGTTGCTGCTTTATTTTACAGACAGTGGCGCAGACATAAAGGTATTTTATAAAAAAAAATTTGTTTTGTTTTTTTAATTTCACAACAGAATTGACATTCGAATCTTAATAATACCTTTTCGATGCATTGAAGTTGCATAAATCTTACAAAAGTCGATTTACATTCATTCTTTTGCCCCAAAAACGATTTTGAATCCTCATTAATTTTCGATTCTTCTGCAATCAACTTAAAAAGTGCTATAAATTATATTATTTATATAATAATAATAATAAAAATTTTAATAATATTTATAACACTAATACTGTTAATAATTATAGTAATATTAATAATAATAATAATAATAATAATAATAATAATAATAATAATAATAATAATAATAATAATAATTTTTTGAAACTGCTCTGTAAATAATATAAATCTAAATTTTTATAAATTATTATATATTTTTGTAATGTTTAAAATTATTTTATTAATATAATAATTATAATTTTTTAATTGGAATAAGTAATTAATAATTATTTATTTTCTATAATTTTTATTAATTTAAAAAAAATTAAATTAAATTTGTGTATCATTATAAATAATTAATAATTATAAATTATTTTTCGTATTACTTATTTAAATTATCTTATTAATTAAAATAATAATTACTATTATGAGCATAGACCTTAGACAATAAATAAACGAGTATGATAAAAAAGAATGAAGTATTTTGTTATTGCTATAGAAGTAATTTACAATTCAAATTTACAAAGTAAATTTTTTTGTATCACTAAAAAAATGTCTATATAACTCTTGTTAAAATCAATTTAAAATTTTTAATAATATGAGGAAAAATTATTATTTAGCTAAATTTTTAAACTGTTTTTGAAAATTATTCAAATTTTATTTTAAAAAATAATGTTAAAAAATAACTATGGAAATAATAAATTAAATACATTTTTAATTTATGTATAAACAATTGAATGATTTCGGAAAAAACATATTTAAAAATAAAGCAAATATTTTTATAAAAATAAGTCGCTGTTAATGTTTACAGCAAATAATAAATATTATTTATTAATACTGTTAATATTATTATTATTATTATTACTTCCTCATAGAGGAAGTATTACTATTTATATTGTTAATAACTATTATTTATTTTGTTACTATTATTTATTTATTAATATTATTACTTTCTAAATCTGAATGAGTTAAAATTCACTGATTCATCAGTTAAAAATTCTTAAATAAATTTATAAATTTATTAATATTTTAAGTAAATATTATTAATAAATAATAAATAATATTAAGGGCTTTTGAACCATTATGACGTCACAGTTTTAGAATAAATGCTTTGCCTAATGTGTGACGTCATAATTTTTCAAATGTCCTGAAATTAAAAAATTTTTTAAATTAAAATTCTTACGCCCTCTTAAGATATCTAAGAAGCAAAAACTTTCAAGTTGTGTTTATAATTTTGAAAGTAAAAATACAAAAAGAGAATCAATTTCTACTACAAATTTTTGAGGTTCAAGCATTCTATACATCTAAAATATTCAATAAAATCTGGTTTCAAAATTATATAATTAAAAAGGGACTTTTAATCAAGATAAATCTAACCCTTCTTAGGTACCTTCCTTGAGAGAGCGTCTCAATTAATAACTTAAAAATTTTTAACTGATGAATCAATTTAATTTGAAAGCAAAAAATCAATTCAGTTTTAAATCAATTAAAATTTTAACTGATTCATGTTTATAAAGTGACATTTATTATTTATCATTACTGTAAATATTTATTAATTATTCATTACTTATTAATATTATTTACTAACATTATTCATTATTTATTGTTTATTAATATTATTTAATTTTTAATATTTATTATTTATTATTTAGGTATTATTTATTATTTATTAATTATATATTAATTAATATTTATAATATATACACAATATTTCGTTTAATTATTTCCAATAATAATTATAAAATAGTCTTCATAATTTTTCATTTTTATTTGTTGTTTTTCTTAAATCTTTTTTTCAAAGATAATAAATATAAAGACATTATGTCACGTTGAAAAATATACCCCTTTTTTTCTCTAATACGTATAAAATTAAGCAAAGATATTTAAAATTATTATTGCCTTGACGCCAATGGAAATGATTAAGATATTTTTCCATGTAAATGAGAGGCGGTTCTAATTATTCAATGCATAGCTCAGAGAAAATGTTCTTCACATTCACAGAATCACTTTATTCATATGTTATAAACTTTATAGATAATAACAATATTCCTGCTTTTTTTTACTAAGTATTCACTATTCAGATAAATTTATTAACCATAAAAATTAATAAGAATAAAAGATTTTAAAATAAGAAAAAAAAAATTAAATTGAAAAATTAAATATTAAAAATAAATTTCATAAAATTGGTGTCAACAAAATTTATAAAAATTGTGCCTTTGATTTTTTAGTTTTATTATTATTAGAATTTGATAAAACTGGAAAAAATTATTTGTTCCAGGAGCCGATCACTTAATTATTATCAAATAAATTACTTGAATTATATAATTTTTGAGTCAATTAAAATTGTAGAACAAATAATTTTAGTATTTTACATAAATATGAATTGTACCATTTAATTGATTGAAATAAAAATTATTCGATTTAAGTAAATATTTATTTGATAGACAACTAATCAGTTATTTGAATCAAATTTTTTCACTGTAGAATTTAATATGGAATATTAAAAAGTTTTACTATTTTATGTAAATGTAACTTTATGTAAATCAAAGAATTTTTGTATATATTATTATCATCATGAGAAAAAAGATTTTCCCGTTAGGATTGTTTTGAAATTTACATTTATAGGCTTTTTTCTATAATTTTCCTCATAATGTCGTGTGTGTGTACAACTCGAGTTAGATTATGAATAAATTTACAGAAAAAGATCTTTGTCAGGGAGAAAAAGATGATCATTTTTTATATATATAAATAGGAGAGATTTACAGGTGTAATGAATTTTAAAAAAAAGCGCTGGAATTTCTAAACTGTAATATAAAAATTAGTCCCGTGATCCTAAAAATATTGTCTATTACAAAATACGAAAATATTTATTCGTTTCTATATTACAACTGGTGTAAAGTATGCTTTACAGTTACCATAATTCTGGTAACCGCAGTGCCACATCAATTTTTATTGTCATAAAACCGGTATATCTTGAAAGTTATTTTCTTACATCAAACTATTCGCGAATATCCAATATAGAAAAGGATGTGTTTTTCCAATTTAATAAAATCTAAAATGACAGGTAAATTTACTACGAGATACAATCAGATAAAGAAAAGAGAGAAAGAGAGAGAGAGAACGGAAATGATAAGCTAATCCATTTGTCATCAAAATGATTTACAGAGTCAATATCAATTTGTTGTGCAATGAAATTCTTCAAAATGTGTTTGTGGAGCAAACATATCCTCTGTCGAATGTGTATAGTCAAGGACACCTGTATGTTTCATAATAATACAGGAAGACAATAAAACTCTACCTGTAAATCTTGACATTTTCCGTCAAATATTTTTTTTTCACCCTATTATCTTTTGGAAAAATTATATTCTGTTTTACATCTCAATTGGAAATTCTTTACATTATGCATTTTATAGCAATAATTCATAAGTTCTGAAACATTCATATCATTGTTCTAAACGTTCAAATGAACGAAATATTTTTTCTGTTTAAATAATTTTAATAAATACAATTCTAAAATAAAAATCTTAAATTTTCCCATATTTGTATATGTTATTGATTTTAATACAAAAGGTAGATTTTTAAACTCAATTTCTTTACGTAATCCTTGTAATCTTCAAAATAATCCGTAACAACTTCCGGAGGATAAGTCAGAATATTATCTTTAAGAAAAAAAGTATCCATTTTTCTTATTTCAGCATCATTAGTTTTGTTTCTCTAAAAATGTTATTTTTCTTCGTGATTAACTTAAAGTAGTTGAGAGAATTTTTTTTTTTTTCGACAGACACTAATGATAAAAGTGAAACGCCCAGGGATTTCCTGACCCATACATAATTTTCCATCTCCTTTCCCCTAATGTGTGATTATCGGTTTTTTGTATTGGAATTTTTATTTTTAATTTACGGATTTGTTTCTCTGTTATAAGAAAAATGCATCATCGTGCTGACTATCGAGAGCGATCTTTGAAAACCGGTGTTTCCACCAAGAGTGCATCGGCACAACACTGTCATTTATTTTCTTTTCTCTCTTTCTCTTTATACGTATATACATATAGCATACTATACAGAACTTGGACCGGTTGTTGTACCTGGCATCTTCTCAGAAATTTATCTGGCACGCAGCCGTACCAACTTGTTGGATAATTCTGATGAAAGCTTCTTGTAATTGGTCTGTCACTAGACAACCACAATCGTTTTAAAAGAAGGTGGATCGGTATCAGATTCTTCTCATTTAGAGAAAATTATATTTTTCTGTTAACTAACCGCATTTCTGCATTAATTCAGAGGTTGATTAATTTATCGAATTCCATACGGGGAGTGTAACTAGACAATTAGAGAAGGAGAATAACGGATAAAAGTATCATTTACTCTGCTATATTTTTGACTGATCTTGTATTTTAGTGTTGGATTTATTACTAGTTGTTTCAGTCATGTAGCGAAATCAGGACTCGAACTTTAGAAATAATTAAATTCTTCTCCGAAATTCAATTATTTTCAAAAATTTTGCTCAATTCAATGATTCTTAATATCTACTATTTTGAGACGCATGCTTATTCCCGAAATCTTTTTTAACCAAATAGTTAATTGATATAAAACTACTTAACTTAAAATTCACATAATGTGCACATTATTTGACATAAACTTCATTGCACACAAAAACCATTTAACATAAATATCATTTGTCATAGAATTCATTAAACAGAAATATTATGTTACATAAAACTCAGATAACTTAATTCTCATTTGACATAAAAATTATGTAACATAAATTTCTATTGACATAAAAATCATTTAACATAAATTTTTTTTGACATAAA